TGTCTGCATAGGGAACCTCTTGATGTTTGTGATTGATTGCATTGCCCAAATGCTGAAATATTAATGACCTTCTTGGACTGAGGACCCAAAGAGGAAACTGAAACCAATTCTGTCATCACAATTAAAGAGTCCCCTGGCTTTAATTAGCCTGACCTGGGGTATCTCTACCCATTGCTGCAGTTAAAGAGAAAAGAGCCCATTAAAGTCCAGTCTGAGACCGATAGCTACTTAATTGAGCACCTAAAGCCTCAAGCCTTTTAAATCAAATACTGTCCTGGACAGTCCCCCCGGTTAGATAATTAGCTCTCCAGCCTCGCAGAAACCATGTGAAACAACTTTTTCAGTAAGGAATAGTTACTGTGGAAGACTTCCTTTACCGGGAAGGAGGAATAAGCTTGTATTTAAAAGAGAACACCTTTTTCCTGTTAATGGGATCACAGACCAAAACCATTCATAACAGAAGAGAAGGAAAATAAGCTCCATTTTCCTGGTAAATAATACAAAGCAGTGGAAAGGTATCCTGACTTTGCAATTGATTTTTAGGAATTTTAGTAGGAGATTCAGCTGAAGTGACTTCCTGGAACAGAACTGCTCTGGGAGCGTGCTTAGGGAAAAAACCTAAGATGTGTGGAAAGCCTCTGGATTAGTTTGACTGCATTTATTAGAATTCACAGACATTCAAGGTGTACGACCACTTCCAGCCAGGGAGAACTGAGCTGTGTAACAAATGCATGCTTAATGAAGACAAGTAGTGCAGTGAGATCAGTATTCTGAAGGCTGTGTTGGGTGGTGTACGAGGGCTTAAGAGAGGCTGCTTGCCAGGTTTGGGTTCTCTTGGACCAGTTGTTTGTTCCCCTGCGGTGGGTGGGTTACTCTTGTGTCTGGGTAACACCTCACCCTGCGTTGTTTGGGGTCTTGGCTCTAGAAACGCCCCCGTGCCTCGCTGCCTCCGCTCCCAGTGCTCCCCGTGCGCCTTGTGCCAACTTCAATCCCAGGAACAATGGAGGCAGGAGAATGCATACGGTAAAGCTCTGGAAGTCACCTTAGTACTCCTGTCATGTCACTACTCCCAGCTGGCCCTGGTCTGGAAGATGCCCTAATACTGGGCCCTTAGTTTCCAGCCACTTTGGTCCCTTTGGCTGGAGGTCCTGGCAATGCCTTAGTTCGGCTTTTCCTTTGTAGCCACCGTGATTCTGCAAGAACGTGTCAATGTGTCGTGGATCTCAGACTAATTAGTTTTGAAATGGAGTTTTGATTGAACTCTTCAAATCGATGCTGCTGCAAAATTTGTTTCTCAGCTTCCTATTAAAAGCCATCTTAAGGGGCAGTTTTACTACTCTCTCTGTCGTTCAGTCGATACATTTAATAACAACTTACAGGCTATTTTCAATAAAGTGGCGACAGCAAATTAGTAGTTTGAACATGACAAGCCTCCTCTGCAAGCTCGGATCCTGAAAATTCAAAGCAATTATTTTTATAGAGAGGCCCGCCGCAGTCATTCAGAGTGCGGGCATTCTGTTGTAATGCGTGTCCTGGGTTGACACAACCAGAATTTTATGACTTTATTTGGACAGGAAGGAGATGCAAATATTAATATTTATTATGACACCAATACGCTAATTTGTAAATCCTATTACTGTGTTTTACATGGTGCAGAAAAGCGGGCCTGTGACCCTGCCAGCTTGTTCCCTTCCCTTCCTTACTTGGGGGATGACTGTGGTAGTCTTAATAAATATTTGTGTGTATTAGAGATGCGCACAAGAGCAAATAAAGGGTTTCTAATTCCAGCGGCCGCAGCCTGTAGAGGTGGAACTCGATAATGGTTATTGTATTCCAGTTGGAATCGATGCGTTGTGCCTTTAAATGGAGTGAAGAATTATGTATATATTTTTCTTCACCACTCTTGTGCCTATTTCCCCCTTCCCCCACCGCATGTGTCCCCCCCCCCCCCCAATGGCAGATGTTGTGGTCTCATTTGATTGCATAGGAAAACTGCAGTGATACAGCAAACACCCAGAGAGATATGATGACAAATGGGTCCAGATCCCGGTAAATTACTTTCTGCTCAAATCGAAATTTCATTCAGTTTGTTGCTAGCAGAGATGAAGTAATCTAAATTGTGGACTCAGGAGCAGATAGAGGGAAGTTGGAGCAAGCATTTCATTATCAAGAGAGAGAGAAGGTTAGGATGAAAGAGATGAGCAGAGGCAAATCTAAAGTGTTGACACCATGATTGAAAAGGTTAACCCATACACATTATATATCAACCTGGATAGCAGAGAGTTTCTAATGGAAACTCTGCACTGATGGAGGTTTACTGGAGTTTCAATACACTGAGCATGATGTCTTCTTAGATATACAATCAAATCCTCTTAACCCTTTTGATGACTCATATCTCAAGATATGATTAAAGTACAAAAGAGTTCTTCATATAATTTCAAGGACACAATGCATTTAAACTCGAGTCATGAATTGTATCGTTTATTTTTTATGATGAACCTAGTAATCTGATCAAATGTGTGTAGTACAGAATTGTTTGTGTTTCCAGAGGTGTAAGTCAATATTTCTGATTAAATCCCCTGCAACCACATCCGAGGTGGGGTGAAGCTCCCAGTTGTTACACAAAAACACACTTTTTCATATTACGACATGTAAGCAAGTTGGAAGGCGGGGGTCAGAAGTCTAAAATAGTTGTGTAATAAACCATTGCAGTGATGCGCAAAAACGCTCGGAGCCTCCTGTGTATTAAATTATTCATGATCATCACCTCTGTTTCAGGTTATTTGGAAATAGTGGTGCTTGCAGTGCCTGTGGACAGTCCATTCCTGCTAGCGAGCTGGTCATGAGGGCACAGGGCAACGTCTATCATCTGAAGGTGAGGGGCTTTTTCGGTGTGTTTTTACTTAGCAGCTGATCAGTGCTGCCCTGCTTCTTGAGTATGAAATCTGCATCTGCTTGGGAATGAAATGCAAAGCAGTAACTGGAAATGCGAGTATATATTATAAAGCTTCCCTTAATGTGTAGCTTTGTTCCCTCTTAATCGGTAAAACTGTACTTGAGTTATGTACTGCACAGTCCCAACAGGTAAGACTAATGCCATATTTGGAGCTACTCAAAACCAAGCAACTCCCTATCTCAACTCGCTCACCGTCTCTGAAGCGTAATTTTCAAACCTGCAGCGTACTTAATTTGTGCTGTGGTCTCACTTGCTGTCTCTCTTCCTCCTCAGTGTTTTACATGCTCTACCTGCCGGAATCGCCTGGTCCCCGGAGATCGGTTTCACTACATCAATGGCAGTTTATTTTGTGAACATGATAGACCTACAGCTCTCATCAATGGCCATTTGAATTCACTTCAGAGTAATCCACTACTGCCAGACCAGAAGGTGAATACCCAACAATTACTAATAAGCTTTATTAGAGCTGAATGAAGATCAATTTCTTTTCATTCTAATAGTGGACCTTCCCCACCCCTGCAAGGAGACCTTTAAGTAACCAAACTTACATATCTTAAGTAACGTAGGTGTGGGGCATGGGGAGAAAGCACTAACCTTTTAAGTATGACATACAGGAGGGAGGGAGTCAGTTTATTTTGTTTTGAGCATGTGCATCTGTACAGCTATTGAACTCGTGTCCAAAGCAAAGTGGAGAGTATCTGTTAATACAAACTCTTAACAAAGAGAAGTATTTCATTCCATAACCTTGAAATTAAGGGCTAAAAGAGAGCAGGTTTCTGTGGGAGGAAAATTAGAGCCTTTAACGTGGAAGTAAATGTCTTGTGAAGAGAAGGTTCCTGAACTGAACCACTGTATTTCACTTCACTGTTCAAGGGTTTAGTTGAGGGAGCATCCTGGGGTACTTTTTCAGGAGTATTTTCTTGTCTGTTTTGTGTGTTACAACTCTGATTTAAAAACCAAAGTGTGCTTTTCTTATCGCTCCATAACACTAATAGCTCAACTAGAGATTGTGTATCTCAGTGGTTGATAGCTCCTGCTTTCTAGCTAAATGAGTAAATAATGACTGTACAAATCATGGAGAGGAGAAGAAGAAAAAATCCCTGATCAACAGTTGTCCTGTAACTCTGAAACTAGATAGTTTTAGATCTATTTTAATCTCCTTAATAAGTCCTAAAGCTATGCAAGTGAGTGCATTTTGATAACTGCTGTGCCTAATTTGTAACAATTACTGTCAACCTTGAGTTAAGAGACTGTTCATTCCACCCTGGTCCAGAAAAGAGTGAATGTATGACTCTTGCACATAATTTTATTCACATCATATTTCATACTGATTATGTATTGATGACATTGATTCATTTACTCTTTACAGCGCCACTTGCATGGATATTAAATCTTATTGACCACAGATGAATTTTAATTTCAGATTGGTGATAGATTTTTCCATCAGCTCTGATAGTATATTTGACTTTTTCATCATTAACCCAGGCAATCACACAGCACTGAGTTATTGCAATGAAACAAAAACTGCACACTTCAGTTGGTAATTCTTTATAGATTTACAATAGGAACTTCATTAATGTCTGCATGGAGCACAAAAAATAACATTTATCTGCAAATAGGAATTTGGGAGATTAAAAAAATCTGGGACAAATGCTGGGCTGCTCAGTCTGCGATGTACAGAGTATTTCTTAGTGCTTTTAGTTCGCGGAGAAACAGGTCCAAGAAAACACAAACTGGTTGGTAATGTCCGTGATTTTGTTGTTGTTGTGTTGCTCCATTTCAGTGTCGGTGTTTGCTTTAGTTTTTTTTTTTCTCTGTGCATAAATTTACTGATTAATTTTAAGTATTCTTTCAAGTCTTACCCAGGGAATGTAATTACAGCAAAATAAAACGTGGGCCTTTTCTATTTACTTAATTTGTCAATGGAGGTGATGAGAGAGTTGAGTACAAAAGTCCTGTATCATTAGGCAGAACAAAGATAATTAATATTGGAGGAGAATGTGCAGCATCTTCTCAAGGAAGTACAAATACAGTTAAAGATTCATAGATTTATACTGTTGTGAATTTTAATGAAACAAATCTGTGATGCCAGCCTCGCCAGCAGTGAATCTGGTAAATGAATATTTATAGTTATCCCCTTTCAAAATATAGGTAAAACCATTCATCTTTACACACCGCAGTAAAAGGTTTACCATGCCGAGAGTGGTTTATCCACTTGTCCTCTATGAATGTAAAGTTTAATGTAACTTCAAATAGGTGTCTAAATTGTCATTTAGTTTTATCAGTTTCTTACTATGCCTTTGCAAAACATAAAAATGATTTAGTTGCAATAAAAGCAGTAGACATGATGAGGAACATAGAACATGGGAGAGAGAAGTAAAATTGGACTGGGTTTGCAGAGCTCACAACTGCAGACATCTGACTGATAGAAGCTAAATGAAGAGAAAATAGTGAGAACAAGTTTTTATTAGGTAACGGCGTTGCTGCAGCCAGTGCTGAGGCACATGGCCAGGTACTGGGAAGAAGGCTGGCGGGAGAGGTTGTAGTTTGGGGTTCTTTATATTATAATCTCTCTAGAAAATGGTGCAAATTCTGCCAGTTCTCAAAGTTGCAGAGCACCCGAACCCCAGAAAACTGAAATACACGTGAGGAGACAGGTTGGCAATTCATAGATATTCCCGGTTTTTTGAATTTTGGAAGCTGCAGGAACAGGTGTCAAGAGTTGTGTGTTGTGGGGGGGGCTTTTTAACAGCGTGAAGATGTGTACATCCGAGATGTTCCAGAAAGCTGTGTTTCAGGGCCACTAAAATGATTCCACTATGACAGTGTTGGCTGTAACAGATACTTCTTATTAAACATTAAAGATAAATCAGTCTCCAGGTTATTCTACCACTGGAGATTACAGACACAGCAGAACATGCACAGGGGGGTTTATTAAATTCAAGAGAGACTCCTGTCATTAACCCCCATTTCTGTTGCATAGGTGTAGGTGACAGGGACTTGATACTGTGTCCATACAGTTTGCAGGTTAATCCTGTGGGTAACTGGCGCAGGCAGAAGGGGTTTTGTGCCCCAGTCTTGGTGGCTGTTGCTGCCTTTTGCCTCCCTGGGGCCATTTGCAGACATCAGGTATAACTCCCCCATTGCCTGCTGTGCCATGTGGGAGCGGTCTGTGTTCTCTGACCTCAGTCCTGCCTGCCTGCAGAGCGCAGACTCGCCCTGCATGATGCCCCGCGCGCTGTTCCACGTGAAGGGACTCTCTCTGCTGTACTCGTAGTGTTCCTGTAGTAGTTCTTGTTTGCAGCAGTGTTACCACCTCCTCCGAGTGTAAATTTTCCCCCGGTTGGCAGTGTTCGTAGCGAACGCTTGTCTGCAGCTTCTGTCCTGTTAAATAAAGGATGAGTTAGATTACGTCTCTCAGAGAAGATCTTAAAAATCTTCTGGTTTACATATCACTCAACAATTCCCTTGTAGTTACATAATTGGTGTTGTCTGTGTCCATAGTAGAGGATATTTGATGCTCATTTATTAAATATGCTTGCTGGCTGCTCCCTAATCTTTGTTCTGGACAGACAAATTACCTTTCTCACACTGAGCTTCAGCTCTGGGGAATTAAACCTCCAAGCCTCTACTACTTTAATTAGCTTGAAAGTGGGGGGTTGCAGTTACTAATAGACCTCAGGCTTTTAGCAACTTCGAGAAAGGGTGAAAAAAGAACTTCCTGGGAAGCGCAAAATGTCATTTAAACCCCATAAAAATCTAATATATATTATTTCATTTTGGTAATTGCAAACAGATTGTATTTGAAGACTGTGGATGATCATTTCTATTTTATCCATGAAAGTTTAGATTTTTATTGAGTTAGACACTTTTAATTATCGCAATTCATTAACACCAGTGCGAAAGCACATGTTTGACTTCATGTATTAAAATGTTTATGTAACGTTAACTAACGCAGCAGATGAGGAGTTTTAAAGGGGTGGGGGGAGGAATCCTGAAATCTCTATATTTAGCTGTTGTGCAATGCAGCACATTAACCAAAGTTGCCTTGGGAGGATATTGGCTGCACTTCTTATTTGCTTTACACACTATTTCTTCCAATTATAAGATCATGTTACGAGCTTCTTCAAAGGCACGGAGTAATGTTTCTTCCCGTTTAAGAGGGGCCCAGAAAACCCACCTTACTCACTGTACAATCTGTTACCAGACAGTGCACTTCTTATTTACTGGTGTCATCTCTCTCTTTCCTCTTTGTTGTTTTCTGCTTTCTCCCCTCCCATCTGCTCTTCTTGCTAGTGAAACTGCAGAAAGAAAATGTTTGCTCTTTGCTATTTGAAGTGGAAACGGTGGCGGTATCAATGGATAGTGTAGAAAGCCTTAATCAAGTCACAGTCGGAAAGTAATCTAATAAAAAAGAGATTAGTGCATAAGGAAGAGCAGTCATGTTGTAGTTTCCTATCATCTCCAATTTAGTGTTCTAGCTAAGCTCCCCGTTTTTATTTCTTACAGGTCTGCTAAAGGGTCAGAGTAATGCAGAATGCGTGCCTTCATCTCAGATTTTGTTCATCACAGATGGATCCCATGTCTCCAAGTAGACAAGTCACCTTTGTAGCTAGCGTCAATGCCAGCTCCATACCATTGCACCTTCTTTATTCTTGATTGCCCTTCCCACATTTATTGGTGTATTAAAATGACTGAATATGAACATTAAGGACTCCATGAACCTGGGCTAATGGGAGACTGTAGAGAAAATGAAAAAAGATCCACCGGAGGACATCTTGGGGGGCGGGTGGGGACGATGACTAATGAAGCTAATTACAAGAAGCATTGAAATCTGCTTTCTACCCTCATTAACAATTAGCAGGGCACTGGCCAGTTTGTACCCTGTGTTTTACCTTAACAACATTCTATTTGCTCTTTGTATATTTAAGTGTTGTAAGGAAATGTGTTGCAATCAAACTGAACATGAGATAAAAGATGTGGCTTTTGTGATATTCTATCACAAACACTTTTATTGTATCTCTGTAAAATACAATGTATGTATGCATGTAAGTGTTTTTGTCCTAATGTTGCTACTTCCCATGGCAAAAAAAGAAAAACAACAAGAAAAAAAAAAGTCAGGCTCATAGCAGCTACTGTGTAGAGATTTTCACCTACTTCTAATTTGCTGAATGAAGAAAAATCTTTTATTTGTGATATTTTCAGAGACATTTGCTCTAGTATGGTGTATTTAAATAATAAAAAAGTAAAACAACACTGAATCGAGTGACGGGTTTCGGACACTTCGCCTTGCTTGTAACCACGTTCAACACATTACTCTGAAACTCGATCTTATGCAGTCATTACCTGAATTGTTGATTACCTTTCAAAGTAGTTTCTTGGTTTGGATGGGGTTCTTGTGCCAGTAAAAAGTCTGTTAAACCATGTTACTTTTGGCAAGGATACAGAGCACTCTTTCAAAATGATCTGTATTTTGCATTTTGGTCCTTAATTCTGTACAGTTCAATCCATACCGCAGTGAAGCATGGGACACATGCAGGTAGCAGCATCACCTGTGTTAAGGGCGTATATGTGTCTGTGAGCACGCAAGCAGGAGAGTGTGTGTACATACCTTAAGAGGTCAAAGAGGAGCAGAGTAAAAACCAACCCAGGGCCTGCACCTCATGCTGAGCACTAGAATTGAGTATTCATGGAATACAACAGCTATTCTGATCTGAGCAATATAAAGTTGTGTGTGCTAGGTAAGAATCTACTTCTTAACACCAATAATCTTAAGGGAAGAAAACCACATTTCCTGGGCCATTTCTGAGCACTTACTGATCTCAAATATGATCTGTTCTCTGTGAGCAAACAAAACCTGCTCCCCCAAAGCAACCCAGCCTCCCCTAAGCTTAGAAAAGTGAGATTTTCCCATCGGCTGCTCAGTGCAGAATAATTCTAAGGAAAAATTATTCCGAGTCCTCATGTTTGTGTCAAGAACAGCAGCAGGGATCTATGGCAGGAACAGTAGCAGGGATCTATGGCAGGAACAGTAACAGGGATTTATGCCAGGAAACCGCACACACCCAGAACGTGCCTCTGCTGCAATTAATAACAAATCAATATTAACAACTACTCTGCTTTTACAGGAGAATCATACATGTGAAATACACCATGATTAAGTTTTCCTTGTTGATTCTATTCCTGAGGTGGTGCTCACTGCTCAGAGCGCTTGGTTACGGAGCAAGCCTGACTTTTCCATGGTGTGATGCCACAACACAAAAAGCTGATGTATAGATTTGTCTGTCTAAACAACCAAGAGCAGATTTCTCCCTTTATTTATTTCCAGATTCTATTTCTTGACCTCCAGCACATTGGGGGCTGCTGAAGTGCTTCTTTTAACACTTCAGTGCTTGAGGAAAAACAGGACCGGTGCAGAGAACAAAAAATGTCGTAATACAGGGGATCAGGCGGTACAGACAAAAACACTTGCATAACACAGCAATAAACTGACTGAAGCTCTGTATGGCCTTTTAATTAACTGCACTTACCTATTTTTTAACTTAAGTTTCTGAGCTTTTGGATCTGGTGTTGAAGTCTTTAAGGAGAGGCCTGCAAATTGTGCTGCTCTGAAAAGACACCTGAAGGCATGTGAGTATCGGATTCAAGTGTTGGTGAGAATGTAGACATCTTTCTGCACGCTTTGAGTGTAAGCACTCGAGGTATGGTGTTTAACATGCAGAATTTTGGTTGTCCAATATAACCTCGAAGTGCTCAGGAGATAGCTAATAACTGTCAGTAAGTAATGTGGTATCGCATTTAGTGCTGGTGAGGTTGAAGTTCATTAACGGCTTTAAATAAACTATTATATGACTCGTTTGTAAAGCACAGCTACCTATTTAATAGCTTACTTTAAAAGGATTTCTTCAGTTGCAGACCTATAAGATTACAAATGTCACTCATGTTAGCATAATCCACATGCGAGTGATGAAGCTTTTGCTTTGATGTGCTAAATTGGAGGAGGACTAATGGAGCTATGAATATACAATAGAACATATTTAAGTAGTATTCTTGCTTTAGGTAAAACACTTCCTTGAAACCAAAGGTATTTCAGACAATAAACCAGGCTCAAATAGGGATGGGAGGTGTGGGTGGGAGGCTGTTGGCACCACTTAGGTTTGTCCTTCTGTGAAAAATCACTTTTTGGGGAGATCTGTAAGGAAAAATAGGTACTTGTGCACCTTTTCTCCCATGCATTTGCGATACCGAGGCTGAAATACACCCTCCGCATTTAGTGCTGTGGAAAAGTCACGCAAATAATCATTCACTAAGAGCTTCCCTCACTTTCAGGAATGAACGCTGTTAAAGAGCACCAAAGGAAACATTTCTAATCTGAACTCATCCTGGTGAACCTGGATAAAAGGTTCCGTCAATGCTGCATCTGAATGCCTCCATCATAGGAATTGTCACTCTTATTAATGAAACAACTCCGTAAAAAGATTGCCCTCTGAATGGGTTTAATGTTTTCACCTATCCAGCTGTCTGTGACGAGATTTACGCATCCTGGCAGGCAGGGGGACATTAAGCCTTTCCAAACCAAATTCTGTTTGCAACAAGATACTGTCTGTTCAGTCCTACATGATTTATCTTTAAATATTTTAACAGCTTACGCGGTACCTTATGAAATATAAAATGAGAATGTCTCACCAAAATGAAGCCAGGAAATTAAGTCACAGCTTTAGAATATTAACCACACCGAGGGTGTCTCCCTTCTTCCCTGTTAGCCAACACCGATCAAATTTGCATCATCTAATATTAGGGTAAATACTAAGAAAGAGAAGGCACCCAACGCCTCACCATGTCCTGCACACTGTGAGCTGCTCTTAAGCACCATCAGACCTTTCAAAAGTGCATTTTACTTTCAAGTTTTCTATCGGGTTCTTTGGCTGGCAGTTGTTTGTCAAGCGTGAGGCTTTTTGCAAGGATCTCCAGCCCGAACAGCTCTATTCAATAACAAATAAAACTGAGATCGGAACATTTATGTACATCTATTTTTTAAGCATTGCATTCCTTCCGTGTGAAATTACGTGTGCCGGGCCCCATTTCACTGCCTGAGCCTCCCGTACATGAAGTACCGGATAACCACTGTTGCTGCATGTTACTGTTCGTACCAGGTGTATGCCTATTGTCAGTCCAGCTAAGCCACACAAGAGCTTATTGCAATTAAATAGCAATTTGTTTCTATGAAACTGCAATTAAAGTATTACTGATCAGCCATTTTAGATTGGCGGTGCTTTGACTGCATGTTAAACAGTGAGGAGCTCTCGATTTATTTCTGCAGCCTGAGCTGCGAGTAACAGGGAAGCGTAACCCGCTCACCTATGTCCCTTGTCAAGTTGAAAGTACGAGTCCTCTGTGAAGCACTCTGATCTCATCACGAACATGCTGAGAGCAATGACAAGTCAGGGCTGATCTCTGTAAGTTGCACTTGCAACTTACAGGACCTGAAGTTATTACTGTTTTCTGTTCCTGTATAAGCAGGGATGTGTACGCTTCCTACAGGGGATGTTTTCAACTCCAGATTGATTCTGTTGAGAATGGACTGCACGTTGTGGGCCGCAAGCCAATAATGTACTGCAGGTCCTGACTTGTTAGAGCTGTGTAAACAGGGCTACTCTAGCTCCTTAATCACAACTAATAAAAGACTAGGAGAAACCAATCAATTACCTTATAAGTTGGTTGGGGTTTTGGTTTGGATTTCCTTTTTAATAAAAAGCAGAAGTTCATCTGCCGCAGCTTTCACCGTCGCACTTGTACAACAGACGAGGCAGTCCAAAGCAATGGCATCGCTCACCTGTGCGCACCCAGGGCTGCTGGCAGCTGTTTGCCTGCGCCATTCCTGGGAAGCCACGGTGCTCCTGCCCTGGAGCCTGGCAGAACCTGCCAGCCCCTGCCCTGAGTCCCCGCCGAGCTCACAGCGCTCGCGGTTCACCTGAAACCTGGGGTGTAAATTTTTGGTGCAAATTAAAAACTTGTTTGTAAGAACTCAAAGAGGAATTATCTCTGCAGCGGTAATTACGTTTCTTAATTATCACCAGGCTCTAACCAAGTCTCAGACATGTTCGCTTCAGTTCCTGCCTCTCTGCACGGTGGAGGCTGCAGACATCCTCCTTCCTTCGCTGGCGGGGATGACATCACACCTGTGGCATGCATGAGATAAGCGCTGCTTCGTTTACAAACAGGTTCCTGTCTCTCAGAGCTGTTCCTGGGGGGTGGGATGGCTCCGGCCCTGCTCCTGAAGGGTGACCCATGGGCCACACGAGTGCCGCTGAGCAAACTGCTGCGTCAGGGGTGAATGGGGAACACCACCCAGCGTGTGCAGGGTCCTGGCTCTGGGGAAGTGGCAGATGAAAGGCCTGTGCTTAAACCTCAGCTGAAGTTGCCCAGCTGAGAGTCAGAAATTCACTCACCTGCAGCAGAGTGGTCCTGTCTGAGCCCAAGGCCTGATAAAAGCCCTGTTTACTGGAGGCAGACGCAGCTGTGTGCAAGGTTATTTTCCTCCCTCTTCTGTGGGTATTTTTAACAAGTCAGCTTCTGTTGTGTTTCTTATATCAACAATTCTAGCACGAAGCTCACAGAATGTTCTTGGCATGCAGGTCAAGGAGGGGCAACAGGATCTGAGGCGGTGGCTGGGGATGGAAGACTTGGTCCTGCCTAGTGGCTCATGGTGCTTTTTTGCCCCTACTCACCTCTGCCTTGGCCGCTGAAGGGCAAGCAAGAGCCTGGTATCACAAAGGCTGGAGTTTTCTGAGTTTCTGATGAGGCCTCTCAGTGGTACTGTATTAAAAGCAATAAACTGCAGAACTTCAGTGACTGGAAAGGCCACGCCACACTGTTCAGCCAGCTCAGGAAAGATGTGAAGTGCAGTGGCCAAAACAAGAGCTGTCCCTGTATAGGGTGATGCTTGAGGAATGCTATGCAAGGGCTCAAGCCTCTGAAGGACCAGGCCTGAAAAGGGCCTGGGCTTTCAAACAGCAAAGCATACGCACCCAGGAGGGCTGGAAATTCTCACAGGTGCTAAGGACCTTCTGAACTCTCATATTCACTGCTCTAATACAGGCCTCACAGACTGTTGTGCCATTTTGATCCCATATGTAATATTGCTCTTACATTTTTTGTAATCACTTTATCTGTTTCAATCAGTTCCCTGCTACACAAGATGTTCACCCAGCTCACAAATGCTGGGCCTGGAAATTCATTCCTTTTTGAATGATGAAAAATGTTTGAAAAATATTATTTTGCTTTTCAGGCCTTTTTTAATTTTATCCCATGATATGTACAGAACTTAAAAAAACCCAGCCAACCAAACCAAAAAACCTCAGCCATTTTGTTGAAGCAGCCCCATAAACCATAACACTGAGCCCAAAGCTTAGCTTGAGATGTTCTTGCCTCAACACAACTTTGGTTTTTGAGAGGGAGGTGACGCAGTGGAGATAAAAACTTACATTAGGAGAAGTGCTGTTCTGCCTGGTTGGGTCCTGGAGCCAGTGAAGTGCCCATGAATGAAGAAGGAAGGCAGCCAAGCAGCCAAACTCAGGAAGCAGCATGGGAAGGAGCCCCCGCTGTCAGAACCTGCACTGGTGCCTTTTTCTGCAGCAGTGCGCGGTCCCCTCTGGTGCTACTCGTGTCCCTTGTTCTTCCAGGACTGGTGGCCGCTGGGCAAGCTGACGCTGTGTGCAGCAGGTTCCGGCTGATGTCCCTGTCTCACAGTGCTGGAATACGCTGTTAATTGCATTTTATAATATCCATATACTTTTCTTCTTAGAGGATCTTACAAGCAAGCTTTTCACTAACAACTTCTGTGGTTGGCTGTAACCTCTCAGAATAATCATTGGTTCCACTGAACTTATGCCAGTTGGTTTGTTAAACTAAATTGAGAGAACAGGACCTATATTAATTCTCAGAAGGCGAGAGATTGCCCTGTGATTTGGGGAAATCTTGATTGCTTACAGTATGAATAAATGAACAAGGCAGATATTAACTTTACACCTGACTTTAATTTCTTTGAGCAGTAGAGAAATGTCCAATAGGAGGAAAAAAAAACCCAGCTAAAATTCATAAGCCAGCCATTAATAGGCTAATTTTGTGCTGTAAAATCATCAGCTGCCTACAGAAAACAAAGGGGCGATGAATGTGGTATTTGCCTTTTATTCTTAGGAAAAAAACTGCAGATCAAACAGCCCCAAACAGGCTGAGCTGATATGCATCCCACTTCTGTATTTTTGGGTATCCTCTGATATTCATTCCACTAATGTATTTGGCTGATGTATTTGATAGGTAATTATGTCAGCCATACCAAGATGCTGATACCGAGCAGTGGAAGATGTTTTGCCATAAAGCTTATACCCCTTGTTACTGAACTCCCCTCAGACGTGGGATCTGCAGCAGCCACTCAAAAGCTTCAGTTGGTATTTTTGTGCTTATGCCACATTTAAAAATTATTCCTGCTTCATCAGTTCAGTCTTTTTAGCTGGATTGGAGAAAAAAAACCCATATTGCAAATGAGCTCCTATTCTTATTTGTTGTTTTAAGAAGGGTAAGCACTGAAGTATTCAAATGGAACAGATTATACCTTTAATTACATCCAAACAGGATGCTGAGCTGATTTTTCTATTTTCCATTTAATTGCTATAGTTCAAAAAGATACTGCAGAACTGTAGATGCGTTATTTAAGCAGAGCCACCCGGTCTCCGTGCGGAGAGACACCAGAAGGGAGAAAATAAGACAAAATAATTCAAAGGGGAAAATTCCAACAAAGTAGTTTGGAAAAAAAACATCCTGGGGAAGATGTTTTACCTGGATCTATGTTTCATGCTTTCTGTGAGCAACTTGGGACTCAGTGGGAGTCCCACCAGCCACACTGGGTGAGGGACCCCCTCTCATCCCATGAGTAGCAAAGCACAGTTTCTTCTCTAACCTGCTCATCAGTGAGTGTGGTGCTTCTCAGATGTGATCCCAACCAGTCACCCTTCTCACAGATGTGCTTGATCTCCACTCTCCTACGATACAAAATGAGAATAATGAAAGCAGACACAATTCATCACTTCTTAAACTAAATATATTTCCATTTTGTTTGCATGTGTGTGCGTGTATATCATTCACCACATAGGTTTAGAGTATGTACTACGACATTACAGCCAGTGATAAATCCTACTCGCTTACTATATGTGTTCTTTGCTGCAACATTAAGCTCCGTGAGAATCTTGCATGTAACTTGTACCAAAACTAAATATATTGTGGAATTGATGCACAGTTGTAAACAAGAGCGTAACTTCCCACTTGAGCACAGTTGAAGGTGGCAGCTTGTGTGGCAATTCCTTTGTAAACAACTGCACATTTTCCAAAGAATAAGCCAGTTAATTACATTTTTAATGATGGGTTTAGAAAATAGGATTCTTGGGGGGGAAAAAATACCTACAACACAACAAAAAAAGTAAACCTGAAGCTTGTTCTGTAGAAAGAAATACCACGTGTGAAATACTGGATTGTGCTGGGCCCAGGTCTTTTGCTTCCCCCATCTTCTCTTTTTCCTTCTACTTGAACTGGCCTGTGCACAGTCTGGTTTATAGCTCCACTGTGAATTCAAAAAAAGCTGACACTAGCATAATCTACTTATTTTTTTGTGTGAATTACCTTATTTCATTGTTTTCAATTGTGCTAAGTACGTGCTACCCGCTTAGAGAGCTGATGGGGTGCGTAGCAGAGCTCAAGATGTCCTCTGAACAGACAAAACTTACAGAAGGCCATGTCACGAGTAGGGTCTAACCGCTAGCAGCACTGACAGCTCTGAAGGGCTGATACGATACAGCCTTGCTGACACACCACAGGTTACATGGAGAGATTCAGGGAGCAACTGAACGAGCTGGAGTAAAAGTACACAACTTTTATTGATGAAGTTCAGGGGAAGGAGGCACCGGGGGCAGCTGTATTAATCCTGTAATAACTTGAAATATAATCAGCACATTGCTGCAGGGATGGCGCAGGAGGGAGGGAGGTGGAGGTGTCAGGGTTTAAGTTCACAGGCTTTCCCAGTTCATTAAAAAGTGAATCAATCAGAGGAACACTCTGGCTTTTCACAGGGCTGGCAGTTGGGAAGGGGCTTCGGACGTTGGGAGGCACGCAGATGGTGTGCCCCTCCTCAGCAGCATCCGCTTGAGGAGACGGCTGTGTTCTACCCTGCTCGAGCTAGTAAAATGTGTTAGAATGCGCTAGAGGAGATTCTGGCTGGATGTCGAGAACTTAAAAGCTCAGCAGTGCTGGTGCTGTGGGCCATACAAAGGTGATGCTGGGAGACTTAAAAGCTCAGCAGTGCTGGTGCTGTGGGCCATATAAAGGTGATGCTGAGAGATGTTTAGAAAGGGAAAACAAGTTTTGTTTTGTAATTTCTAGAGTGGTGGTTTAACCAGCAGGCAAATGGGCAGAAGGAGTCTGCCTACAGGACCCCCCTTTGTAGGCAGCTGGTATAGTAATTAGCTCATTAATTTTTGCCATCCCTGGACTCATCAGTGATATATTTAAAAAAAACCCAAACAACAAACCCCAAAACTGAAGTGGAATTCATGTATCTGGATCTGGCATTTCCTACATCCTTTGGATGAAGCTGGTGCATGTACACAGACCAGAGAACATCCTTGGAGAATGAGCTTACTCATCCTCACAGGCACTCAAAGGCTTAGGACACAATGCCCTATATTTAAATAGGATTCATGACTTTTTAATTACTGCACAGTACAACAGGGCTCAGTGAGAACACATGGTTGTCCAAAGTGGTATGCTGTGATTGCTCACCAGCGGTACGGGAGCGCATTTAATCAGTGGTCTCTAGTCCACATGAGAACAAGTACCCACCACAGGCACAGGTAGGAACACTGACAGACAGACAGTATTTCCATACTAACCTCAGTGCTGCATTAAGAACGTGATGTGAGAAGTGCTGTGTCATAGTGATGAGTGATTCAGGCTGAAAACCATCTGTGGTAGACGGCAGCGGTGTCAGTGTGACCCAATAGCTCCTCAGGGGGAAGTGTGTCCCTTTGTGGACATCTTTTCTGGAATGCAAGTCCAAATCTTCATCATCCCCTGCCCCTTGCATGGATCCTGCTGTGCTTGCAGTGGGCCAGGGACTGCCCTCAGGTTAATTAATAGCTCCACTGATTGCTGGAGGAGCTGTGGAGGAGTGGAAAGACATACTTGGTCAGTACCAGAACTGAGAGGCAGGCTCCTTTCTTACAACATTTGCTTTTAAACAAGTTTTGCTTTCTAAGATGTTTGTAATGATATGAAAAAAAAAACAATGTACCTGTTCATAGAACCACAGGATCATCAGGGTTGGAAAGGCTCTCTGGAGATCATCCAGTTCAACCTCCCTGCCAAGGCAGGGCCACCAACAGCAGGTTACACAGGAATGTGTCCAGGCAGGTCTGGGATGTCTCCAGAAAGGGAGACTCCACAACCACCTGGGCAGCCTGTGCCAGGGCTCTGACACCCTCACGTAAAGACACTTGTTCTGCTGTTAGTTTTTGGCCATTTGCTCCTCATCCTGTCACTGGGCGCAACTGGAAAGGGTCTGGCCCCATCCTCCTGGCAACTGCCTTTGAGCTATTGATCTGCATTGATGAGATCCCCTCTCAGGCTGCTCTTCCCCAGGCTAAAAAGGCCTAGCTACCACCATCTCATCCTCATAAGAGAGATACTCCAGACACCTGAGCATCCTTGTGGCCTTTGCTGGACTCTCTCTAGTAGCAACTTGTACTGACGAGCCCAGAGCTAGACAAAACTCCAGATATAGGCCTCACCAGGGCCAGTAGAACCTGAACCCCTCCACATCTCTACCAAGTAGTTTAAAGCACAAACCAGGCTAGCTCTATATCTCCTTTCTCACATTCATTGGTCTTTCCAAGACTATCCCTGAACTACAGCCCAAGGCCAGTGAGTACAAAGCATACTTTCTGGTTTAATTTTTTTAATTTCTTGTTTAGTGCCTCAACCATCTCCCCATTATGGTTTTTCTAAGCACTGATTTCCTCTTCCCATTCTCCTTCATCCCCACACCTGGCCCAGCCTTGCTTGTGTGTCACTCTGCTGCGAGGACTTGTGTTCAAATGGATTCAGATGAAATGCTAACGTGGCTGGGAGCTGGCACTCATGCAGGGCTTGGGGCAGCTCATAGTGGCCTGACCTGTTTTTACTGAATCACTTCCAGTTCAGCAGAAGTGGGTCAGGCACCTTCAGCCACGTAGATCCAGAGCATCACAAGAACTTGCCACTTTGGCAAAGTGGGAATTAAATCAGCTGGAGAATAACCTCAGAGAAGCATAGGTGTCACTGGCATCTCCCTCGCACCACAGGCACACCCTGCAATACACATCACAGACCCTCATCCTTCAGCACGGCTTCCCTGGTGGGAAAAATGCCAGAGGAAGGGCAGTGCAGCTCACCTGTACATGCACCACCATGTACATGTACATGGGCTCCTGGATGCTCTCGCCAGCGAGAGGGAGCACGCCCAGCACAGGGAGGGAAGACTTGCCCAGTGGTGTATCCCCCACTGCTGTCATGTTGCCTGGGGTTCATGCCAGCCCCTCTCCTGGGAGCCTGTAGAGGGTGACATAAATATATGCTCCCTGCCATCCTGTGATGAGGAATCCTCTGATTATACCTGGGTCCCTTCCTCCCTCCTGGTCTAGATCCACGTTACCCACTGGCCCTGATCTGGGAATGCCCTTGAGCACGTGTTGTGAGCAGGCCACAGCTCCCAGGGATTTGCTGAATCAGAGCCAGGTGTGATGGGGACGTGACTTCACATTAACCCTGCTGGCAGAGAAGGAAATCCATCCCCAAGCTCCGAGGGGAGCTGGTGTTCCCAAGCAGAGCCTGTGGGTTGCATCCCTGGAAGACTATAGACCAGAGCATTTGCCAGGGGCCTAATCTAAACAAAACAAGCATGGGGCAGGAGCTACAAAAGCAGAATGCTGCATCCCAAGGGCTATGGCAACAATAAGAAGAGGAAAGCCTTCCTGGAAGTGCACATGGCAGACAGCAATGGCTCCGTAAATATATATTTAGACAACTTTTAAAATGCATAATATTTTCTCAATAAACCATATGTGGACATATATTTTTAGTGTCTGTATTTTATTTGAATTGAGAATGCATCATAAAAATCCCCATGAAATCTCTTTGAAAAGTAGTTTGTGCATATGCTGTGCTGCAGCCACTTCCCAAAGTGAAACATCTTGGCTCTTCGTTGCCTAAAAATATTTTAAAATACAAAAAAGAAATTAGACTTTATTACGGAGTAATTGCTTGGCAAATTACATAAGCCATGCTTGAATCAAGCCAGTGTGAGACTGGTAAAATGGATTTCAAACATGAAAACAACCAGAGAAAGGCCCAAGCAGATCGCTTCCCTGAGCTGGAACAGAAAATGCAAATCGCATACGCAAGCAATCGAGTAGTTCAGACTTTTAATGTCAACCTTTGACCTTGACTGAGTTTTAATTTTTTAGTATCTTTGTTACAGATGCTTAAAAATGGGGGTCTATAATGGAAACCATGTCAAGCTCCTAACAACAGTGGTGCAACGAGGCACCACTATAATAAGATGAAGATTTCACCATCTAGTACCTAAATCTCCATTAGTAAATTCCACAGCTCAGTAAGTTTGCTTCATTATCTTATTAGGTAAAAA